AGAGAGGAGGGATCCTCAGCTGAGGAAATGCCTCTATGAGATCCAGCTATAAAGCATTTTCTCAATCAGTGATCAATGGGGGAGGGCCAGGCCCATGGTAGGTAGTGCCATCCCTGGGCTGGTGATCTTAGGTTCTATAAGAAGGTAGGCTGAGCAAGCCAGGGAAACAAGTCAGGGAAACAAGCCAGTAAGCAGCACTCCTCCATGGCCTCTGCATCAGCTTCTGCCTCCAGGATTCTGCCCTGTTTGAGTTCCTGTCCTAACTTCCTTCAATAATGAACAGCAATATGGAAATGGAAGCTAAATAAACTGTGGGAGCCCACAAAACTTCCTAGTGAGATCTGGGCTTGCTTTACACTGCAGGGTTGCATTAGGGGATGGCTTGACCCTGTGCATGGTTACCAGGTGTCTTGGATAGTCTGCACTTGGCTGTGCTGGGGGAGGTCTTTTGCCCCACCCTTTGGCATTTCTTTAAAAGCCCTTTAGTAGAGACAGAAGGGGCTGGTGGGTTTTGACCAAGGCCCTCCTGAGGCTATCCTCTGTTTTCTAACTGTCTCTCTCCCTTTATATTTCTATCTACATATTCCTCATTTCTCCCTGCTCAAGAGTACCCTGGGGGAAAAAGAGGGAGCAGGTCTCCTTCAATAAACCCTTTTCTCCCCAACTTGCTTTTTGGTCATGGTGTTTCATCATAGCAATAGAAACCCTAAGACAACAAACAATAGTTCAGTTCATGATAGAATTTTTTTATTATTTGATGTTTAATTTTTAGAGTTTTTTTTAAATATATTCTAGCTATTAAACCCCCTATATTTGTTTTCTTTCTATTGTTAGGACAATACATCATGACCAAGACAACTTATAACAACAATCATTTAATTGGGCTTATGGTTCCAGAAAGAGTCTATGATGGTGGAGTGAAGACATGGCAAAAGGTAGCTAGGCTGCAGCTGAGAGCTCACATCTTGATCCACAAGCAGGAGTAAGAGAGTACACTGGGAATGGTGTGAATCTTTTTAAACCTCAAAGTTGGCCTCTGGTAACACACCTCCTTCAACAAGATCATAATTTCTAATTCTTCCCAAATAGTTCCACCAAAGTAGTCAAACATATCAGCCTATAAAATCCATTCACATTCAAACCACCCTCTCTGAATTGTAGCTGGGAAAGATATTTCTTCCATTGTATAGGTTATCTGTTTTCTCTGCAGATAGTTTCTTTTGCTATATTGGAACTTAAATTCACATAATCCCACTTTCTGGCTTGAGAGTGGGTGCTATTTCCTGTACGGTTGAAGTCCTACTGGTAGAGTGCTTGATTAGAGAAAGTACTTGTCTATATCCTAAAGTATTTTCTCTAGCAGCTTCAGCATTTCAGGTTCTAAATTAAGGCTATTGATCTGTTTTAAATTGATTTTTGTGCAAAGCGAGTGAGGATTTAATTTCATTTTTCTTGCACACAGATACTCAGTTTTGCCAGCACCAGTTGTTGACTAGGATATGTATCATGAATCCTAATTGGTCTTAATAATAAAAACCCAGAGTCAGATATGGGGTAAATGCTGAAAGAGAAGCAGAGCAGCCAGCCACTAGAAATACTTCTTCCTCTAGGAATCCTCAGCCTGAAAGGGACTGGGTTCCTGTCTCCTCCTGTCTTATATTCCTCTAACTGCCCAGCCATATCGCTTCCTGTCTCCACCTCCCTAGTGCTGGGATTAAAGGCATGAGATACCAAGTGCTAGGATCAAAGGTATGTGCCACCACTGCCTGGCTCTGTTTCTCTTTTAGACTGGATCAATCTTGTGTAGCCCAGAGTGGCCTTGAACTCACAGAGATCCATCTGCCTCTGCCTCCTGAATTCTGGGATTAAAGGTGTATGCCACTATTGCCTGGCCCCTATGGCTAACTAGTGGCTTAGCTCTGCACGCTGATCTTCAGGCAAGCTTTATTTGTTAGATCACAAACAAAATATCACCACAAGGATGTCTTTTATTCAGTGCATGTTTTTGACACCTATTTTAGTTTCATTTTCAGTTGCTTTGATAAAATACCCTGGCAAAAGCTTCTTAAGGGAGAAAGGGCTTATTTGTCTCACAACTCCTGGTCATAAGCAATCATGGCAAGAATTCATAGTTACAGGAGCTTCAGAGAACTGAGAACAATACATTCATAGTCAAGATCAGAGAGCAGTAAATTAATACACCTATTCTAGGGCCTACCTCATTTTCACTACTCTTACACAGTTCAGAATACCCTTCCATAGGAATAGTGCCATCCACCATGAGCAGGTCTCCCCAACTCCACTAAAGTGCCAAGATAACCCTCTACAGATATCACCATAGGCTAACCTAATATAAATAATCCCTCCTTGTGACTTTCTTTCTGAGTAGATTTTAGATTGACAATTAAAACCAACCACCACAACACCTTTATCAAACATTAGATGATAATAGTAGCATAGGTTTATTTCTGGTGCCTGTGTTTTGGTCCACTGATGTTTGTTTCTATGCCAGTACTATGACTTCTTTGTCACAATGGCACTTTATTACAGTTTGATACCTCTAGCAGCTTTTTTTTTTTTGCTTAGGATTACTTTGGTTATCTGTGGTTTATTCCCTTTTCATATGCATTATAGGATTTCTTTTCTCTAGTTATATGGATAATGAAAACACAAGTGACTTTCTAAAGACTTAAATTTCTATCACTGACTTAGCCCTCTCTGAATTCTAAACTTTTTCTTTATACATCTGTCTGCTTAGCATATCTTCTTGGCTTTTTCAGTGACATCTCCAACTTAAACATTTCTGAAATTAAACATTTGATTATCTCATTATCATACTCCTTAATGGATAATATTTCAATCTTCTCTTTCTTTGAAAATATCAAAAATGCAATTGCCAAGACCAGAAACTAACATTATCTCTCTGAGTTTTCACAATCTGTTAGCAAGTTCTATTGCTCTTCCTTCAAAGTAAATACTCAGACTCTCATCTTCTCTGTTCTATACCACAGCCCATTTTTACACATGCTATCTCAGAGCTGTATCACTGCCTCCACCTTCAGTCTACTTAAGATTTTACCATCTATCATGCTCCATTTCAGTATCAGCCATAATTCTCATCAGCAGTTTTCAGGTCTAGAACCCATCGTTGATCCAAGCCTCATCTTTGTCATCAAGAATAGATAAATCCATATTACTAGTAATTATTTGCCTCATGTTACATGTCTACTGTGTGATAAATATTTGAAGGCACCCTGTATTTTGCAAGTTATATCTACACAATCTTCATAACAAACTTAGATGAGAGATTTTAGCCCAACTAAAATAATAATAATAATAATAATAATAATAATAATAGATAAATAATCTAAGACTTAGAGAAGTTATGCTAATCACTCTTAGGCCATTCTTATATCTAGTAAGAGAAAAGGCTAAGATTAAACTTACCTTCTAACTACAAAATGAGGGCACAGTGAAATGCCTTCTGTTTTCTAAGATGGTTTATGTAAGTAGACATCCTAACATTCTACTTGACTAGAAGAAAAGGAGTGGAAACTTCTTGCCAAGAAAAGGGACTTAGAGAAATATGTCCCAGCTGCAGGAAGAACTGCCAGACTAAATGAGAATATAAATTCCATCACCACGAAAAGTGGTATAGGTATGAGAAAATAAGAACATTGTTTTACGAGTTAGAAAGATTACTCATAAAGTAAGAGTAATTTGTGTTGTTCTTCCAGAGGATGTGGATCCAGCTCCTATAGAATCTACATGGCAGTTTACAACCATATGTAGTTCTTGTTACAGGGAATCTGATGCTCTCTTCTGACCTCTGCAGAAACCATGTGATACACATACATACATGCAGGCAAAACACAAAATAAAAGCAATGAATCTGGAAACAATGAAAAAGAATTCCTTTAAATATAAACAGGATTACTAAACAGATACCTTTCCACTTTTGTAAAAAATACTTTAGCAATGGGAATATGGCCCAGTAATAGAACATTTTTGCCTTGCAAGTTCAAGACCCTGGGTTGAATCTCAGAACCATTAAAAAAAAAAGAAAGGTGCTGAATCAATGTGGGTAGAAGTTCAACAAGAAGTTTTACACACACACACACACACACACACACACACACACACACACACACAAAATTGTGAGTTAGTGCTCCAAAAATTTAAATTAAACCAAAAACTGAAAAAATTTTAAGATTTTTAAATACGTTTTAGAGTTATTTATCACCACTATTTTACTTAATTTATTTTTAGTGAGTTAGAGAGATATCTCAGTGTTTAAGACAATTGGCTGCTCTTCTAGAGGATCCATGTTGAAATCTTAGAACCTACATGGCAGCTCACAACCTTCTGTAATTCCAGTTCCTGAGGACCAGATGCCCTTCTTGGTGCATACACATAGTATACAGGCATATATGTAGGCAAAATACCCATATACATAATAAAATAATGTTTTTATAATACTTAAAAATAGTTTAGGGAGTTAGAGAGATGGTTCAGTGGTTAAAAGGACTTAGTCTAAAAGAAAACCCAGATTCAGTTCCCAGAACCCATAAGATGGCTCACAAGCATCTATAACTTCAGGGTAACTTTGATTCTAGGGGATCTGATGCTTTTTCTGACCTCTACAGGTACCATGCACACACATGGTACACATATAAATTCAGGCAACACACTCATCCATATAAGATAATAAAATAAATTTTAACAAATTAAATTACATTTATTATTATTATTATTATTATTATTATTATTATTATTATTATTATTGTGTGTGTGTGTGTGTGTGTGTGTGTGTGTGTGTGTGTGTAAGTCAAAGGACTGCCTGAGCTAGTCAGTGCTCAACTTTCATCATGTGGGTCCTCTCATCAGCCTTGGCAGCAAGTACCTTTACCTGTTGAACTATCTCATTGTTCCTTAGTTATATATTTAAATTTAATTTCTTCTGTAATTGAGCACGTATGTATTGACCTTAAGTTTAAAGTACCTGAGACTGTGATGATGTCTAATGGTTTGTATGTCCATCTCAGAGAAATTATCATTTCAGAATGAAAGTATTCTTCTTCTGCTAGACCTATTAATGTTGGTATGGTCCACAAAGTAGTCCTGAGCCTACTACTCTTTCCCTTATAACTCTTTTGACAACCCTGATCATTTATCACCATTCTTTTGTTGGTATGGCCCTTTGTCTACCTAGCACATAAGTTCAAGTGTTCCAAACTTCAAATATCCAAAAGAATATTCCCTTTCTTCCAAACTTGAGCATCTTCAATTTTGCATCTCAGCTAAGGATTGCATCATACATTACTAACATCAACAAAAATGTCTTGCTGCTTCTCTGCCATATTCATATGTCCAGAATTTGTTTTACCTTAAAAAATTGTGCCACCCATCTACTTCTCTGGGTCTTCTCAGCTGCCACTCTAGTCAAAGACACATCTTCCCATGTAAAATATGGCAATTTCTGAGCTGGTCATCTGCTGAAGTCCTGTTGCCTCACACAATATTTGCTTCAGGTATCAGTCATAATAAATATTTTAAAAATGTAAATTAGATCACATCATTTCTCTGCTCACAACTTTCTAAAGGTTGCCAGTTATATCAAGGATGAAGTTCAAATTCCTTTGCCATTGTCTAGGACAGAGTTTTCCAAATCAAACCATTTACTAGATAATGAAACCAACTAGCATACTGAGTAAGGATTAACTTAAAATAAAATAGAACACAGAAAAAGAAATATTAAAGTGTGTTATACATAGCAAGAATAAGTATTATTTCATAAAACTTCTTCCTGGTGTGTACATGAATGTGCACGTGTGTGTGTGCTGAACCTAAATGGAAATTCATTTTGGAAGAGGATTTTTGAGATAGGTTCTCTCTGTTACTCTGGCTATCCTGGAACTCAAACTCACAAAGATCTGCCACCACATCTGGCTTGCATTTCTCACAATAGGCCGTATCAAAAGAAATTTGAAAGTATTGTCCTAAAAGGCCCAAATAATATTTTTGCTTGTATCAGCCTACCAATTTCCACTCTACCTCTGCTCTCTCAGATGTGTTAGTCCTAATAAACCTCTAACTGTCGTCTAAAAAGCCAGACTTCTCCCCACTTCTGCTCCTTTCACTTGATGAAATAATATTTATCCAATTATTTACATGGGTGGGTCCTTCAAGAAGTCCTAGCTCAAATGTCAACTATTTAGAACACGGTCCTTAACTCTCCTAAAACAGTCTATCAATTTATCTTTTACATCTCACTGTTGTACTTCATTTTGTGCCTATAGTCATCTTACATCATCTTTCTTGGCACTCTGAGCCTAGGCCACATATGCTATAAAGACCTTAACTGTTCTATCAACCACAAATTTCTGCATATATAACAATAAGTGTCAACTAATAGGATATTGAATATTTTACTGTTATAAATATTGATACAGGAGAAATTAGGGTTCCTTCTTGGAGTTCTTAGTCTCAATAATAAAAGAATTTAAGAATGGACTCAAATAGAAGCTCGGGAGAATTTTATTAGAGTTTAAAAGAGAAAAAGAAATCCCAGGAAAGGCAAGTGTATACTTCAGCAACTGCCAGGAGGAGAGTAGAAAAAAAAAAAAAGAAAGATTAAGAAGCCACGTAGTTTAAGCTGCCATGATGAGCAGACACATGGTGGATAACAGTCACATGATAGGAAGAGAGGCTTTACAGAAAAAGTAAGAAAGCCCAGAATGTTGGAGGAGAAATCCCTAATACTAAGGAAAGCATGCTTAGAAAAGAAGAAAGGTGAAAGTTATGCTTTTCTGAATGATTTAGAAATGTGACCAGCCTTAGGACTTACATGGCTACAACCCCTGTAAGCTACTCCACTAAAAGTGGGGATTCTGGGGAGGAAAAGTACAGTGTCTCATTAGAGAACTAATTATTCTGCCTATCTCTTTAGAATGGCTGAAGGATGCCTTCTTAGGTGTGGTCCTTTGGCCAGGTGATTGATGAGGCCTAACTGTGTTGGCAGATTTTTCTGTCCCTCCTGCCAGCTCCCAAATCACAACACAGAAACTTATTATTAATTATGAAAGCTCAACCAATAACTTAGGTTGTTTCTAACTAGCTTTTACAACTTAAATTAACCTATTTCCACTAATTTACTTTTTGCCTCTTGGCTTTATTACCTTTACTCTGTACTGCCCATGCTGTTTTACTGCTTCTCCCATCTCTGTGTTGATGACTCTCTGCCCCAAAAATCCTGCCTAGCTATTGGCCATTCAGCCTTTTATTAAACCAATCTGAGTGACAAATCTTCACAGTGTACAAAAAGATCATTCTACAATACAAATGGAATGTTAAGTCTTCACTCAGAACACAGATTCTATTCTTTTTTAAATAATTTATTTATTTGTATTTGATGTACATTGGTGTTTTGCCTGCATGTATGTCTGTGTGAGCATGTTAGATTCCCTGGGATAGGAGTTGTGAGCTGCCATGTGGGTGCTGGGAATTGAGCCTGAGTCATTTGGAAGAGCACTCTTAACTCATTAGTTCTTAACTACTGAGCCATCTCTTCAGCCACATGGATTCTATTCTTTTGACCAGGAGTTTGCTATTCTAACAGTGTTTATAAAATAGAGACACATTGTAATGAAATCCCTTCATTACATTTAAAAGCAAACTTTTTGTAATATTAGAGTTGGAACCTAGGGCCATAAGTGTTAGAATTCCTAGCCACTCCACTATGAACATGCTGGCAAGATGCTTAGTCAGCTCAGGGCCTTCCATCGTAACCGGTGTGCTGCATGAGCATATCATCTATGCACATGCATGGCGTGCTAAATAAGCCCATATGTGCATGTGAGGGGGTGGGGGGTGGAGGCGGTTGGAGGGGTGGGGGTGGTGGGTGGGGGGTGGGGAAGGCTATAAAAGCGGGTTCCACCATATCCCTCCTCCTCTTCCTGCATGATCTTTCCATAGTCCTAAGCATCCCCTTCTATTTCCTCTCCTTAATAAACTCTTATAGAGGGTTTTGTTGTTCCTTGAGGCTTTTCTCACATGGTAAAAAGTGCCACTTAATGAATAACAATAAGAATGTTAGTAAGTGCTATACCACTGAGCCCTACTCGTATCTCTTATAATGGAGTTCTTAAATAATTATGTAAACTTTATTATGAAAACAAAGATACTCTTGAATGGTGGCTAAGAGACAGTGTCCCATAGGAGAGCCTGATCCATGAAATCCAGCCTTAATGTACAGAAGTTATTTGGTCTGCAATGTGAAAATACAAGTTGGCTAACACTGAACACTGAATGGTTAGCATTCTTCGTTTTTGCATGGTACCCAGTGGTTATCGGCAACCAATAACAAAAACTTTAAAACAACTGTTTATCTTGAATTCCCATCTGATATAGTGCAGCCATAAATAAAACATACAACCTGTGCCTTTCATTCTAAACATAGAGGGACCCAAGAAGCTATGCAGGCCCTGACAACTTCCAGAGTGACACACACACACAAACCCAGAGTGGACAGGAACGAAGCAGAGATCCAGAATTAGAGTAGATTCAGAGATCTAGAGAGATGGGCCCAGTACCCTCCTGGGCCTACTCAGCAAATCCCTCTAAAAGATCCTTAGGATCATCATCTTCATCTTTATTTCTCTTCTGTAGTCCAGAAAAAAAGTCCAACAGGCTTTTATGGCGAGCTGAGGGCCTTTAATTTTCTCTTAGGTTCTATGGAAACATGGGAAGATTTTAAGCAGGGAAGTGCCACCTTTATGTCTCAAGCAACTCTCTGCAGGATGGAAGCGTCAGCCTGAATGGCACCAGAAGTTCGGTACAGTCATCTGGCCAGGTAATAAGCAGAGGATGGAAAACAGGAGAGAAGATTCTGACTCCACTACTCATCTACCACTGCTATAACTGTCTCCTCAACTTCCTAACTAATACTGTGCGCCTACTCTGGAGAAGCTGTGTAAAAATTTAAGTGGCAGTGCAGGGGGACTCTTAGCATCTGACACATAATACACAATCAACAAATGCTATTAATTTTTGTTCAGGCTCTATGTTGGCGGTACAACAGCCAGAGGAGCCTAATCAAGCAACACAGGAGGAGTCTCCACTGTGACTCACAAGCAAATTTTATTGTGCCAGCGGGGAAGGTGCACAGGGATGAAGCTGGAGCCATAAGAAAACAAACAACAACAACAAAAAAAAAAAACAAAAAACAAAAACAAAAAAAAAAAAAACCCAGCATTTTAGGAAACAGCGAACTTTGACGGGAATCTCAGTCATCCCAAGGCAAAAGCTCCCCACCAACTCTTTTGGAGTGAGGGAATGGCCGAGGAGAGGGACAGGGGACAGTTAGTGGCCAGAAAGGCCAGGCAAAAGCCTATTTGACAGTCACTGTTCCGGTCCCTTCTGGATCTGGCCTCTCCTTTCTGCGGTAAGGCACAATCCTAAACTAATGGAAGAGACGATACTGGCCCTCAGTAGCCCGGGAGTTAAGGGCCCCTCACCACCGATTTTTGTCAGCAAACCCCGTTTCCGAGGTGCCTAAAAGTGTACAAATAGTAAGGCCAGGCTTGGCGAGGCAATTCATCCCACCTCTCAGCCGGACAAGCTGATTATGGCTCTCCATATCACCTCTCCTCGGGGGTGCTCAAAAGAATCCGCAAATCCTCAGCATCACAGCCACCAATCCCCAGCACTGCCCATTCACACGCAGCGGGGTGGCTGGGGATTAATTGGAGGGGGAATGTTGTGAATTCCAGAGAGTTCTTTCTCTATGCCTCACAGCCGGTGGCCCGGGATATTGCTACATGAAAGCTTCGCTGTCAGTATCAATCATCATTGCGCGGGCTGTCACATTCCATGGGCTGAATTGGCCTCATTCGGTGACTCCATCAGAGGGGGGTGGGCATTCCTGAAGGGCCCGCGCTGATAAGGCCAAATTCTGACTCCATAAAAATACCCAGAGCAACTTCTTTCTCCACATTCCTCGTTCAGAGAAAAGACAGACCTGGAGGATGAGTAAAGCCTGGGTGAGGACCAGATCTGGGAGGATAGAAGCAGACAAAAAGCCCTAATTCTCCCCTTTTGATTAAAAGCCAACCTTCTCTGGTGCCTTCTTCGCTTCACTCTGGCAAAGTGAGACCTAAAAAACCTCCTCACAAAGCGAGCCCAAACTTTGCACCATCTCGAGTAGAAATACTTCAACCGAGTAGATTTTTTTAAGTAATACAGATACCTTTGTTAACGAGAATTCCTGAACTGTCTCTTATTCACTGTAAGGTTTCAGATGCAGTTGCATCTCACCATAGGGAAGGAAGCGAGGGTGGGGGTGGGGTCCTCAGAGCTCTCTGCGGTCTGAACACACCCTGTGTAGACTTTTGGCTAATTTTTAAAAGCGAGACTAACTGATTTCTCCTCCCTTACATTAGCTGAGAACTCCAACATTACTCACATACCCCCCCCCCTTTTTTTCAGAATTGCCTGAAACTCCCACCAAGTTAAAGGCCCAGAGAACACATCCTACAGTATCCACGTTTTGGTCTTTGCTCACAGTGAGAGGAGATGCTTCCTAACTACCCTGAACCTGAAACCTCTCATGGATCTCTGCTCCTGCTGCTCTCAGACAACGTGAGCCTCAGCCAGGCTGCTGGCTCTGTTGTAGTCATCTGTAACTGATGATAGTGACAAGCACTTTACCTATTTCGAAGTCCGTGCAGGGTTAATGAAAAATAGACTAAAATGGGCCTGCGATCAGTAAGGCACTCAAAATAAGCTGGTATGATTGTTAATTCCTTTCATTACAAACGGTATGTGGTGAGTTAGTGATCCTAATAAAAGTCTTCATCTGCATCACCCTGCCCCAGAGAGTCCTAGTAAAGTGTGTTCAGGGAGAGACAGATAAAGAGAAGCTATAATACATACCCCTCATCCCCAAAAGTAGGATCATTGTTTTCGAACAGCAAGCTGTGATACAAACCATGCATCCCCAAAAGTAGGATCCTTGTTTTCAAACAGCAACATCTCTGCAACATTTCAAGTTACAGATATCCAGAAGTTAACACTATTATGTGGACAATATTCTTAGCTGCAAGTCTGTTTTCTAGGATTTCTTTTGTTGTTTACTTGTTTTGGCATGGCAGCAGGTAAGCAATGCTTGAAAAACAGACAATTTGGCTCCAAAATATTGAGCAAATTGCTTCCTCTCGCTGGACCCCAGTTTTCCCATCTTTACAATGTATGAAATCATCCTTCTGTTTTATGGTTCCTTGAATATTTCCTTACTGTTACTCAGTAACAGCTGGGACTTTAAAGTTATGCCACACTGGATAAAATATCAAAGTATTAATTAATCTTAAATCTTAGGGGAAAGAACTGATAAAACAATTCAAAATAATGCTTCCATCTTAGGAACCTTGCATGCTACCTATGCAATCATAAATAGAAATTTTCAGCACTTGGAAATTAAAAATAGCAGGGCATAATTCCTTACAGCACTTTAGTATAATTAGCAGTTTCCCTGCTAATGTGCCTACATTGTTTAATTTCTTTAAAACTGACACCTGAAAGCCACAATCTCAATGCTGTAAGAATTCTAAAGAACATAAGGTCAACATTCCTGTCACCATTGCATCTGGCTAAACCAAATCCTGGGCAGTTTCTCCCTTCCAAGGCCTTTATCTCCCAGCCAAATTTGCTCACCTACCTCTGAGAGATGTTTTTCTTTTCTCTTTTCTCTCTTTCTTTTTTTTTTTTTTAATTTCTTTTCTTCCCAGCTACTGTTAGCTGGCTCATCTGTCCTCAGTGAGAATCTTAGGATCAAAGCTGGGGAGAGTTCATATATAGTTTTGCTGATATATGTGTTTTTAAGGATTTAATTCTTCCCACTTGGATCTAGCCAGTTTCCACAACAAACAAGCCTCACCAGAAGTGTTCCTATGCTCTCAAAGGCAAACACACTTGGCTTTGCATCAGGGACCCAAAGGACAGAACTTACGCTATTTTAACCTGTGATAGCAAAAGTTTCTCATTTATCATTTTGCTTCCCTTTCTTGCAACCAGAGTCTTGTTAGGCTCTCCAGAAAAAAGTAATGGTGTCCAACCTTTATTAAGGAAGAATCCAAGTGGCAGATGAAGTACACACACACACACACACACACACACACACACACACACACACACACACACATCACAACCACACCGTGGCTGAAAGATCCTTTGCTCCTGCTGCTCTGAAGTTCAATCAAAGTAACTCTAGTTGAAAAAAGCTCTGCCATGGTGGCTGTAGTGATAGTTCAGTGGTTAAAAGCACTTGCTACTCTTCCAGAGGACCCTGGTTCAATTCCCAGCACCCACATGGCAGCTCATAACTGTAACTCAAATTCTAGGGGATCCAGAATCCTCACACAGACATACATGCACACAAAACACCAATGCAGGTAAAATAAAAATAAATAATTTACTGATAAACATAATTCTGTCCACTGAAGATCCAGAGTAATTTTAAACCAGTTAAGATACTTCATTTAATATAACAAAATGTGAAACTGATGAAACAAGTATCATGCCAACTTTACAAATGAAGAAATCAAGGGTGATATATACAAAGCTTATACAAGCAGCTCAGAAAGGTGCTAGGATTTAAGCCTGGGGCTTTCTGGCTTCAGAAGCAAATCCCAGTGCTAGACTTTAACACTCATTCTGCTGTTGTAGAAAGAGTTCAGGACTGAGAATAAAAAGAAATCTGAGTCATTGGATGGGGTTTCTAGCACGACAATTAGAGTATTTGGCCATCCTAACACCAGAGTAGGTCTGTTTGGGCTTTGTCTCCACCATTGCCAGTAGTCTATTGTGGGGGTATCTTTGTGGATTTCTGTGGGCCTCTTTAGCACTTTCCTTCTTCCTATTTGTTGTGCCCAGATCGTGACCCCCAGAGAGACCACCAAAGACAAGCATGCCAGAATGCAAAAGCAAGGTTTAATTCTGGATGTACAATACAAGCCTAGGCAGGGACTTTGTCCAATACATCCAACGCAGTAGAGGCCGGAGGAAGTGCCTGCCTGTCTGCAAGCTCAGTTTTTAAAGGCAAAAGCCACAAGGTTACATCATTTATGGGTGCTAGTACGGGTAAAATTCTGATTGGCTCGCTTCTAGGGGCTCTCTAGAAATCATGGCTTAATCTTTTATTTCTAAGGGAGTGGTTGCCCGCCACCATTTCTCTTTGGCTGCTCTCAGGTGGGGATATTTCTGTGGTCAGTTACCCTGGAAACCAGGGAGAGGGCATTCTATAGTCCGGCAGTCACTACCTCGTGACTACCTTGTAACTCTGTACTTTTACACTTCCTGGTTTCTGGAATCTGAACTAACTGGTTTCAGTAACTAATGGCCTATTCCTAAAAGGAGAAATCTTAGGCCTTAATTTTAGGGTGAAAGCATTTTGGTCTTATTTCTAAGATGGCTCATTTTGGTCTCATACTATTCTCATTTATCATGGTCTTTTATTCCTTGTTCTTCCTCTCTGTTCTTGATCCAGCTGGGATCTCCCACTTCCCTAAGCTCTCTTTCCCTTGACCCTTGCCCTTCATTTCTCCCATTCACATCCATGTTGTTCATGTAGATCTCTGGCCCCAGGTGGAGCTCCAGGAGTCCAGTTGGTGAGAAAGAGGAGGGTTTGTATGAGTGAGAATTGTTGAGACCAAGGTTGGATAAAGCACAGGGACAAAAAATAAATAAATAAATAAAAGAATGGAAACACATGAACTATAAACTAATAGCTGAAGAGCCCCCAACTGGATCAGGCCCTCTGGATAAGTGAGACAGTTGATTAGCTTGATCTGTTTGGGAGGCATGCAGGCAGTGGGACCGGTCCTGTCCTCAGTGCATGAGTTGGCTGTTTGGAACCTGGGGCTTATACAGGGACACTTGGCTCAGCCTGGCAGGAGGGGACTGGACCTGCCTGGACTGAATCTACCAGGTTGAATTCAATCCTCAGGGGAGGCTTTGCCCTGGAGCAGATAGGAATGGAGGATGGGCTGGGGGGAAGGGCGGGGCCGGAGGGGGGAGAACAAGGGAATCCGTGGCTGATATGTAAAATTAAATTAAATTATAAAATAAAATTAAAAAAAGAAATCTGATATTAATTCTGTGACTAGCTATCAGTTTATGCAAGCCTTGATTTCCTTGATTTGGGAAAGAAGTTGGACTTCTCCTAATCTTCAGTCATTTATTACTACTTTTGTCTTACACAATTTATATTATAGTGATTTTTTCACTAAAACAAATAAAATGTCTTAAACTTTATGAACTAAAAAGATAAAATTAATTGGACATATGAATCATGCCTTTAATCCCAGTACTAGGTATATGGAGTCAGACCAATTCCTGTGAGTTCAAGCTATCCTAGTCTACCTATTGAGTTCCAGGCAAGCCAGGGCTACCTAGTGAGTGAGACCTGTTTCAGAAAACAAACAAAAACAAAGACCCCCACCATCAAAACTCATAGAATCAACTAGCCTGGGCTCATAGGGGCTCACAGAGACTGAACCAACAACCAGGGACCCTGAATGAGACTGACCTAGACACTCTGCAAATATGGTATATGTTACAGTTGTATAACTTCATCTACTTGTGGGACTCCTAACAGTGGGAACAATGGCTGGCTCCGACTCTTACTGGCTTTTGGGACCCTACTAGTCATACTGGGTTGCCTTGCCCAGCCTTAATACATAGAGAAGTGCTTAGTCTTACTGCAACTTGATATGCCATGTTTTCTTGATACACATGGAAGACTTGCCCTTTCCTGAACAGAAAGAGAGGCAGAGTGGATTGGGGGGTGAAAACAGAGCAAGGGAGGTATGGGGGCGAGGGGAGGGGACTAGGAAGAGAGGAGGGAGGGGAAAATACAGCTGAATGTTAAATAAATAAATTTATTTAAAAAAAAAAAAGAAAGGAAATCCCACCACCCACAAACAAATAACAACCATATTTATTAATTCCTGGGATGTTATCTTCCAGGACTGTACAGTATAGCACT